TTTGGGGGACTTTGATTTTAGTTAGGGTTCAAAGTTGTAAGCTGAGTTATTTATAACAGCAAAACAATAGAAATAGCTAAAATGTCCACAAACAGGGGAATGATAAATTAATGGTGCAATATCTTTTCCATAGAAAACCATGTAGTGATTAACATGATTTAAGTTGATCTATATCCACTGATAAAGAAATTTCTCCAAGACCTGTTGTTCAAGGATAAACTTGAAGTCACAGAAAATACATACAGTATGATGTCATCATGCACCACATATCTTTGGTTGTTTGAGAGGCAGCCTCAACAACATATTGGGGTAAGATGAGATGATTTTTAAGTCCCTTTCAGTTCTTAGATTCTGTAATCCTAAGAAATCAAAGTTTATATTTTCTTTAAAAAATATACTGCTTTGAATCGTATAAGAAAACTGTAAAACTTTAAGGAGAGACATAAAAGAAGACATGGATAAAGGGAGACACGAGTCATTTTCCTGGATTGATAAGATTCAACATTGCAAATATATAAAATTCCTCAGAATTAATCTGTTTAAAAACAACAGCCATAAAACAAATCAAAACCCCAGTGTATTATTGGTGGGGAGGGCTTAAAAAATAGTTCTAAAGTTCATCTTGAAGGTTAAATGTGTAAGAAGAGCCAGAAAATATTTGAAAATAAAATCTGTGTTGTAAAGTTAGAGTAATTCGAATCATGTACTAGTGCCAGACTAGACAGACAAAGCAACCAAAGAGAAAGTCCAGAAAAAGATGTGGGTACTTATGAGAATTTAATATATAATAAAAGTGACACTTTGGTTCAGTCAGGAAAAGATGGGTTATTCAATAAATTGTTGGGACAGCAAGTACCTTGGTGGTCCCCCCCATGAGAAGGGTCATGCATGTGTCTTTTGTACAAGTTCTAGTGGCCGAATCATTCACAAAATATTTTAGGTTATATTTTTCTGTCCTACCTTCCAATGAAATAAATTCCTGGTAGATTAAAGGTTTAAGAATTTAATTAAATTAAATACTAGGAAAAATTTGGTAAATATATAATCTTGGGATTGAGACAGAATGTAAATACGACCTCAAAGGCAGAAATCACAATGAAAGTTGGATAGATTTGTCTTTATCAAAGTTTTAAAAATTATGTATATATGTATCATGAATTAACAGAGTTGAAAGACAAACATCAAGCTACATAAATGACAGGCAATTATTAAAAATGTAAGACATTTTTACAAGTCAATATAATTAAAATGAATATTTTATAGAAAAATTGGTTAAGGGCATGAACAGGTAATTTGCTAGGGAAGAAATCCAAACAACATATAAGATAAAAAAGTGTTTACATCATTAGGAGTCAAATGAATGCACGTTTAAATGACAGAAACATTTAATCCTATCAAAGTTTTAAATATTTACAGTAATTTAAATCTTTCATCTCAAGAGGGTTACATATCGAAATGTCAACAGTGATTATCTTTGGGTTGTGGGGTTAAGGGTACTTTTCTCTTTTTTTGTGTTGCTTTTCTGTAGTATTAATATTTTCCTTGTGTGATAAATACGTAATAGTTTGCACTGATTCTTAGAAAAGTGCTCAAGTGGAATCTCTGGAGAAATCATTTCTGAGGTATGAGCAAGAACGCATCCAAGCTGTGGCCATCCCTGTGGGACCAGTCTGGAGCTCGTTGGGCCATATTGAATCATCTTGGCTCCCAACTTCAGGAACTGGGTCTTGGTGGCTGCTGTTTAGACAAGGGGACTGAGACAGAGGAAGGGAGACCAGTCAGCAAGGTAGTGCAATAACAATCCAGGTGGGTATTTATAAAAATTATACAATGGAACTTGGTGTGACCACTCTCTTAAAGAACAAAAAAAAAATCAAATGGCATGTCTGTTCATGTTACTTGGGAAAAAGGGTTGGATGATAGAGGAAGAAAGTAAAGGATGTCAACTATGTGAATGAAGAAAACACTGAGTGAACTTTTGTTGAAGTAGAATATACGTACAAATGAAGATGCTTCAGTTGTCTATGTTGGGGAGATTTCAGATTCAGAACCAGTCATTTCCAACATTTGGAACAGTCACACCAGGCACATTTTCGAGAAAAATGAAAGGCCACTTCAGTCAAGGTACCACCCATCCATTGCAGCCTGTCAAGTATGTGACCCTCAGCAAATCCTGCGGACATCTCACCTGGCTCTCAGCCTGAATCTAGATCAGCAGAGAGTCGTATTGCCTGTTGAGCTCCTGTCTATACTTAGTTCTAACACAAGTCTTGCCTAATAATGCTTCAGTTAGTCTCTCCTTTAACTCAGTATTCAGCCTCTAGTACTTCCGCACAGAGATGTGAATGGAAGTCTTTCTGCATCAAAACAGCTTCCACTTCTGGAGAAAACTGAGTTGCCTGAGGTTAGGTTCCCTGGAAACAGACTCTGAGGTCGGTCTTTGTGTGCAAGTTTGTTTGGGCTTGGGGTGGGAGGGTCAGGGGGTGGGCGATGGTCCTTAGGGACAACACCTGTGAGGGAGTGAGGGTAAGAGGACTGCGCGGAGGGAGAGGTGGGGCTTCTCAGTCAATCTCCTGAAGAGCTCTGAAGCTAGGATGGCCCTGCAGCGTGGTCCTCAACTGAAGTACAGGGGCCAGGCCTTTGTACCCCCACATTAACTAATCACTGGACGCATGATGTCCTGGGGACAAGGCATATTTTTGGATGAGGAAGGTGTCTTCGGCCAAGGGGAATCTCCAGGGAGGAAGGCTGCTGAATTGCCCTGGCCAACTGTAGAGAAAGGAAAGAAGGTCCTGGGCGAAGTGGACTTGCTGAGATGATTTACTGTGTGGCGCCAGAAGACCGACGGAGGGTTCTGTTCCATGGGAGGATCTAAAGACAGACTGTAAACAGAGGCAATGGGGGATGCACTGGTGAGAGGAGTACCAGCATCACCGAGAAGTGCACAGGGGCTCTCTGCAGGCCAGGGAGGATGGTAAGAGAAGCCATCACAGGGCTGGGCTTGATAACATCCAGGGGGTAATAGATGTAATAGAAGCCAGAAATCTGGAGGCTGGAGGTTATGGTAATTCCTGTAACTGCTGGCAAGGTCAGAGGAGCAGCCCCAGGGGGTTGTGAAGGTATTTAATAGTACAAGGTGTCCCTAGGGTATAAATAAATGGGTAGCCTACAGGGCGTTGCTTAACATCTATTACAACCAGAAGAATGCAAAAATAGAGAAGTAGGAGACTGAGGGTTGTTGCCCCCCTCCCCCACCAAAGCATGCTCCTTGCTCAATTCTCAGGTAGGAGTCAATTTTCAGACACAGACCACAGAACCCATTGAGTGAAAAGGTGGTTGGGTCCCTAAGAAGAAGGACCCAATAACACTGAAACAAGTATTTATTGTAATGATTATTCTATGATGTATGACCATTTTCTCAGCAAACTATATGTTGGGGAAAGAGCAATACCCAGACGTTGCACAGGATCTGAGAGGATCTTGTTACCCAGAACCCCAAAGTGTTATTATGGCCCCTCTGTAAGAGTGGAGGCTTACGGAGGTCAGGTAATAAGCAGAGTGCTAGACAATACCCAGCTTATAATGGGTCCATAGACCCATCCAGTGGTCATTTCCCCAGGCCCTGGGTGCATAATTGGGAATATATATTGGGTAGCTAGAGAAACTCCATATTAGGTCCTTGGCCTTCAGTTCTCATGGTGGAGAAGACCAAGTGAAAGCCCCCGAAACTGTCCCTTCCTTACCATGTTAAGATAATAAAACCAATATTTCATCCAAGGGGATGGGGGGTGTAATGATGGTGAAGATTAATGTCACCACTAAACACCTAAAAGATGCACGAATGGTCATCAGGTCATATTTCCATTTAATTTGCTGGTCTGGCCCCCTCAGAAACCAGAAGAATGGTTTATGGATTACTGCAGACCTAACCATGTAGTAGCCCTGATCACAGCCATTGTGCCAGCTCTCGACATCCTACAGAACATCACACCCATCTGTTACATTGATGACATCATGTGAATCAGCAGGACTAACAAGAGGTGGCTAGGACATGGGAAGCCTTGGTAAGACACATGCGCTTCAGAGGGTGGGAGATAAACTCATGAAGATTCAGGGACCTGCTACTTCAGTTTTTAGGGAACCAGTGGTCAAGGATCTGCCAGGATAGTTCCTTCAAAGTCAAAGGCAAACTACAAAACACAGATAAGCAAGATAAAAGAAAAACATTACTTATAAGCCCTTTAAAAGTGATGCCTAAAATTGTTGTGTTACATCCTTTACAATATTTTTTCATTGTGCATAGAATATAAGTATAAATACAACAAACTAATATGGAATCATATCACTATCCAGTATCTTGTTTATTTACTTGTTTACTTGCATATTGTCTCTCTAGCCTCACTGTGAGGTAAGCTCCATGGAAGTCAGGTCTTCGTCTTGTTTCCTGCAGGACCTGGCACCAAGAATGCGCTTGGTACTCAATTAATACTTTTTGGTGGAATGAATGAAGTGTACTATACACATGGCTTTGTAACCAGTCGTTTCAACTAACTTCCAGATGTTTCAGATTATACTTCACCTTTCTTAAAACGTGCCCCTCCAGAAGTTACGTGAAAGCAGTTCTCCCACTCCAGAAACTACTATCAGAGCAACCTCAGAACCAAAACGCCTTCGTCTTTTGGCAGCCCTCGAGCATCTTGCCTTCTGGCTAGCACTGCCTTAGAGTCTACATCGGGTACACCCTTGCGGAGATGACGCTTTAGATCACCCAGCTCAGCTAACAGGTTCCACCATAACTGAAGCTCGGTTTCGAGGCAAGCCGTCCAGCCCCACAGCCACGTCCCTCTTCCGGCCACGCGTGGGCGCCAGAGCGCCACAGTCCGCGTTGGGCCCGGGACACGCCGGGAGGTCGACTCTGGGAGGGTGTGAGGACTGTCCGGTGTGGGCGGAGCCAAAGGCGCCCTGGCCCGGAGCAGAGGGCAGGAAGTGAGGAGGCGGGGCTTCTGGGCTGGGGTGTGCGCTTGCGCGTAGGCCGATCGGTGGCGTCTTCCCGTTTGCCGCTGCTGGTGCGTGTCCTGGTGGAGACGCCTTTAACCTACTTTTATGAGTTGGGTCGGGCCCAGGGGTGGGGCAGAGTACGGTAGTTGGGTTGGGGCGAACTTAGGAGGGCGCTGGGGTGAGGGGTGAGGTCCCGGCGGGGTTGGGTGGCGGGGACGGGGATGGGGTGGGGGCAGGGAGGGACGAAGGGGTGCCGGCGCGGGAATGGGGCGAGCCGGGCTTGTGGAGTCGGGGCTGAGGGAGGAGGTGAGTAGACGAGGAATATGTGAGGAGAAAGCGCCATGCTTCCCCTTCCCCCCCTCTCTTGGTGTGAAATGAAGGGACTTCAGGGCGCTGCCCTGACCGCACGGGAGTTGCAAGTTGGCGAGTGACTTGTTTTCTCCCGGAGGAGGTCCTCCTCCTCCCCCCTCAGCCTCTCCTTCTCATTAGCGGCTCCTTTTTAAAAGCGGTGTTTCTTATTAACGCCGTATTGACACCTTCCCCCGCGAAAACCACGTCGAGCAGCTTAAGGCATCCTGAGAGTCAGTCCCCCTCGTTTACCTCCTTTCGCTCGTAAAGTAGAGAAAATAAGTTTTCCTGCCTAAGCCAAGTAGTGAAAAATAGAACATTTCCTCTCTCACCAATTCTAGGGAGTTTTCATGATTTCTAAATAAGCTTGTCTACAACAAGCACTTTTTATACTCCCTAAATAACGTAACTTCTTACTAAAACGGAGCGACGCGACCCCTCAGTGAGATTTTAGTCCAGGGAGATGAAAATGCCTCGTTTAGAATAAAGGGCTTGATCGACTCGAGTGACTCTGGCCAGTGCCATGTAACCTTCGCTAAAAGGATTTAGGTTCATATCCGTCCTTCTCAGCCATGGCGAAGGGGTGCAGTCTGACATTTGGAAGCGTAAGAGGCAAGTCTGTTGCCTTCCAACCTATTTTTTTTTAAGCTTTCCCATCATCATGTGTGTACTTTGCTTGAATGATTATTTTAAAGTACATGTCCTATTTTTGCCAATCTGACAGCTGTTTCCATAGAAACTAGAGAAGAAATAGTCCTTTTCAGCAGAGTTGTTAAAACTGTCTTCCAGGCTTCAGCTGTGAGTGCCAGTGAGGGCTGCACTTGCTCATTCTGGGATGGTACTTACAGAATTAAGTATCTGAAATGTTCGTGGAGGCTAACAATCCAAATGGTTTAATTTTCTTACATCATTAATTTAGTAATCCTAGAAGGCTGCCAGCTATGTTTTGTTGACCTTAAATTCTTTGAAGTGGTTGTGTCAGCCCTGATTCTTTCTTAGGCTCTGTGAACTCTAGTGATGGACTCTTTGAAAAGGGATAAATAGATTTCTTCTCCCATTCTTTACCCTTTCTTAAAGATAAACCAAGGATTACAAACTCTCAGGCACAATCTCTGTGACACCTGATTGTCAGGGATATAAATTATTATGTTTTTACTTATATACGTATGATATACCTTTGTGTCAGCAGGGTACTTGTTAAAAATTTCACATAAGGCATGAGAGATGAGCAGGAGTTTGCCTGGCATATGAGCAGAGCTAAGCAGTGTAAATAGATGTGCATAGTCGTGGAGATGAGAGCTTCTCTTTTCTGAGAAGTGGAAGTAAGTCAGTGGGCCTGGAGCTTAGGGATGATTGAAGGAGAGGTGGGGCAGGTACCTGGAGACGTGATTGGAGGCCTGGTCTACCCTATGAAGGAGTTTATTGAAGCCAGTGGAAACCAGTGGAAATTACAAAATAGTTGCCTCTACTGGTTTTGGAGCTTACAAAAGTAATACATTCTGCAGAAATTTGAGCAGCGTAGAAATATATAAGATGAAAATACTAAATTTCTTAACAGCCACCATCCTGCTACCCAAAATAATCACTATGAATAGATTGGTGTGTATATATACATATATAATAGTTTTGGGGAGATATATGTGTATATATATGTACACACACACACACACACACACACACCCCAAGGGTGCCAAAAAATGTATACACATTTTAAAAAAGGAAAACTATTAAAATTGTAATAATATATACCGATAACAAAAATCCCCAGAACATGCTAGCATATTTTAGCATTAACTATTTTTACAAATTGGGTAGAGATTTTCGTGTGTGTGTGTGTGTGTGTGTTTGTGTGTTTGTTTTTTGTGATATCCATAGCATCCAGAAAGGTACCTGGTATGGCACTGTAGTCGTCACTCATTACATATTTAATGAATAAATGAATAACATAATTCAGAGATCAAAAACTCATGGGGTTTGGGTATGTTTGGTCAAGGTAGTGAAATGATTTTGTTTAAGTTGGTTGCCAACAAATTGATAATTTCCACATAAAGTCTGAATTTCTGACTTGCCTTGAAAATATTGAAACATTAGGCAACACTGTGCCCAAGTTCCATTACACTTGTCGCAGCTCCTTTAGAAGGGCATGAATCTGCATTTAGATCAGTATGGCTTTGCTGATATTCACCTGCTGGCACCCTACAAATCTGCACTCATATAGTAGCTGCTAGTCACATATATAGCCATTTAGTTTTAAATTTATTAAGTTAATTAAAAATTCAATTGCTCAGTTACAGCAGCCGCATTTCAAGTGCTCAATAGCCACGTGTAGGAGCTACCATAAAAGACAGCACATTTATGGAACATTTCCATCATTGCGGGAAGTTGTGCAATGCTGTTTTACACATTTGTTTGCCCATCCTTGATATACAGATGTTTTGCAAGTAGCATTTGTTGTTATTTTTTTTAATCGTTTATCTTTTAGTGATTACACAGATCTCTAGTTTTTTAATGGCTGCATGGTATTTAGGAATGTAGGACTTTATGTCAGTTGTGGGAGCAGGATTTTGTTTTCCTGATTTTCACTTTATATTGCTTTAGCTCTCCTAGTTTAATGTTGAAAAGTGGGAATTTGGCTTTGCAAACTATAGAAGGAACCCTCAGTTCCAATAAACAACAGGTATAATATTAAAATGTTACCAGGTTGTGTATGAAACGTGTAATTGTTTTAGACCATGTAACCTCTTAAGTCAGAGGTCTCTTCAAAGAAACTCTTTGAAGAGAGGGAATTATTTTTGGAAGAAACTAAAAGCTCATGAAGCTCAATTAAATGTAGGAAGTACAAGGTCTCTTGGGAACCAGGAAGGTGTGATTCAATCTTCCTCCCCCTGCCTGCCTCCTCTCACCCCCCCCCCAATCTCTGAGGCTCCATGGTTTCGAACTTTCTTTCCACACATTATCTCCACTGTGCTTTCTGTAGACCCACTTCTTTTGCATTTGCAGTTCTTTGTGTTGCCATAGCACCAAATATATCCCCAATTTATACATGCCCCTACATTCCTGTGCCTGATAATGTCTTACCAAAAATCTTTTCAGTGTCAAATGTCCACTCCTAGCTCTGTGGTCAGTGGCAGGGGCCACTTGGGACAAACATAGCAGTTTAGACCTATCCCCTAAATTGAGGCTGTAGGATGCACTTATAAAAAGAGTGTGGTTGGGCAAGTGTCTGAAACTTATTTACTAGAGTAAAGGAAAAAAATTGAGTTTGTGTTGTTTTTGCAGTTTGATTTCTAGTAGAAGACATTTTATATTTAAGCCTTAAGTACATTTTTCTATTTGAAACAGTTCTTTTTAATTTGGTTTTTTGTTTGTTTGGGTTTGTTTTTTTTTGGCATGTGCCCAAATGGCATAGTTGCTTTTCTGAATTATTCTGCCACTCATGGGTAGCCTTATTTATTTTTAAAATTCATGCAATACATAGCACTTAATGAGGAACTGTGTTATTATTTTTTTCTCCTCAACTAGATTTGTAACCTCCAAGAGGGCAGGGGCAGAATTTTATGCTGCATCTGTAACTCACATACAAAATTTGAGCGATTTTCAAAAGGTTTGCTATATAGATAATACTATTTATCATAACTGGTGTTCTGAAGCATCTTTCTAGGTAATATTATATTAGCTTAGGTTGAGCTGAATTTATATATTTTCCGTAACTTTTAATGAAGATTTTGAAATATCCAGAATAATTGAAAAAAATTAATGAACACATATATAACCACTACTTAGATGCAATGATTGTTCATATTTTACCGGATCAGCTTTATGTCCTCTGTGTGTGTGTGTGTGTGTGTGTGTGTACATTTGCTGTATAATTTAAGTCTTATTCATCATGAAGAGACCTCAGCAAGCGCTTCAGGTATAAGATAATCACCTACATAACCACAGTATCATTGTCACCTAAGAAAATAAGCAGTATTTATCTAAAATAATCTAAAAGCAAATCCATATTCAAATTCCCCCAGTAGCCTCAGCAGTCTTCTAAAGCTCATTTTTTTCTTTCAAACTAGGATCTAATCAAAGTTCACACAATACCTTTTCTTATTGTCTCTTTTTAGTGTCTTAAAAAATAGCTTAATTGGTGTATAATTGATATACAATAAATTATACATATTTATACTGTATAGTATGAGTTTTAACTTAAGGTGGACACCTGTGAAACCAGCACCACAGTCAAGATACTGAACATACCTTACTCCCTAAATTTGTATTCCCTCTACTTGGCCCTCTTTACCTCCTCACCCTCAGGCAATAACTTATCTATAACTATACAGCAGTTTGCATTTTCTACAGTTTATATTATAGAGCTGGAATCACAGAGTATGTACTTTAGAGGGGAAGTAGGGTCTTACTTCTATCACTAATATATAAAAGTAAAATTGTATACTGCTCTTGTATCCTGCCATCCTACTAAGCTCATTTTAAAATAGGTTTTTTTTGTGTGTTTTTTTTTGTAGATTTGTTTGGATTTTCAAAAAGATGATCATGTGATGTAGGCTTAATAAAGACCATTTTACTTCTTTATTTCTTTTCTGGATGGCATTTGTTTATTTAGTTGGGTATGTATTTGTTTATTTAATTCTATTGCACCGACTAGGAGCTCCAGTACAATGTTGAATAGAAGTGGTGAGCGTGGACATCTTGTGTTGGTCCTGCTCTTAGGAGGACAGTATAGTTTTTCACTAGTAAATATTGTGTTGGCTAAAGGTTTTCTGCAGGTGTCCTAGTTCACGGAGAGTTTTTATTAAGGATGGATATTGGATTTTATCAAATGCTTCTTCTGTGTCTATTGAGAGGATCATATAGTGTTTGTTTTTCAGTCTTTGAATAGGGCGAATTCCATTGATTTTTTGTGTAACCAACTTTACATTCCTGGGACAAATCTCAGTTGGTCATGATGTGGTATCTTTTTTATGTATTGTTTAATTAGATATTTCTAAAGTATTGTTAAGAATTTTTTATTTTTTCATGAAGGATATTACTCTATAGTCTTCTAGTAATGCTTTTTTCTGGCTTTGGTGTCAGGGTAATACTCGTCTTATGGAGTGAGTTGCAAATTATGCCTTTCTTTTCAATTTCCTGGAAGTGTTGGTATAAAATTATTACTAATTTTTCTTTAAATGTTTTGTAGAATTCCCCAATGAAGCTATTTGGGCCTAGAGCTTTCTTTGTGGGAAAGTTTTTAATTACAAATTCATTTTAAAAACTAGATACAGGGCTTTTCAGGTTTTCTAATTCTTGAGTTAGCTTTGATAATTTGTATTTTACAAGGAATGTACCCATTTCACCTAAGATGTCAAAGTTAAGGTTTTTCAATTCATCAGTCCTAAATTTGATTATGATATACCTTGGAGTTGTTTCCTTTCTGTTTCTTGTGTGTGTGGGTCATTACATTTCTTGGATTTTGTGAGTTGACTGTTTTCATCAAATTTGGAAAATTTTGGCTATTATTTTTTTCAAGTATTTTTTTTCTGTGCTAGCCCTCCCCCCTTTTCTGGGACTCCAGTTTCACATATATTAGGCCCCTTAAAGTTATTCCACGCCTCATTGATGTTCTATGCATTTTTTTTTCTAGTGTATTTTTTTTCTGCATTTCACTTGGGATACTTTCTGTAGATACCACAAGTTCATAAGTATTTGTTTCTACAATGTATCATCTGCTGTTAGTGTCATCCATTGTATTTTTCATCTAACACAGTTTTCTTGTCTAAAAGTTCATTGTAATTCTTTCAAAAAAAGCATGTTCTATGTCTCTACATTAAATACTAAACATTTCCTTAGACTTCTTAAACATATGGAATATACTTGTAGTTAATAATAACTGCTTTAATATCCTTGTCCCCTAATGCTGTCATTTGTGTTGTTTAGGAGTTAGTTTCTATTGATTGATGTTTCTCCTAATTATGGATCACATTTCTTGCTTTTCGCATGCCTTGTAATTTTTAATTGTAAATGATACCTTGTTAAGTGCTTGTATTCTTATAACTGTTCTTGAGCTTTTTTCCTGGTATGTTGTTAAGTTACTTAGAAACAGTTTGATCTTTTTGGGTGTTGCTTTTAATCTTCTTTAGGTAGGGCCAGAGCAGCCTTCTAGTCCAGGACCAGTTTTTCTGTAACATTGGGGCAAAACTCTTCTGAGTACTCTACCCAGTGCCCCATGATTCTAAGGCTTTCCGCTTTGAAGGACGGGAACAGGCACTATGCTCTGTCCTTTGTGAGCCCTACATATTATATTGTTTCTCTAATTCATTCTGGTGGTTCTTTCCCAGCTCCAGGGAATTTTCTCACAGGTATGCCTAGATCAGGACTCAGCTAGGTACACGAGGGGCGCTCTGCAGGTCTCTGGATTTGTTTTCTGTGCAGCTGTCTTCTCTTGTACTCTGCTCTGTGAGCTCTAGCTAATGTGGCCTACTTGAACTGCCAGCCTCATCTCTTCAATTTAGGGAGACGTTGGAATGTGCCTAATTTCTCCCTCTCTGTGTATTGTACAGCTCATCTTGTTTGTTTCCCATCTCAGGGATCACTGTCCTTCATTTCCTAACGTCCAGTGTGTTGAAAGCATTGTTTTATTTATTCTGTTTCTTCAGTTGTTTTACGTGAGAAGATAAGTCTGGTCCCACTTAACTCCATCTTGACCCCTATCATAAGTGCTGTGATTTATTTCTAAAAGAAATAAATTCGTATTTTAAAAAAATACATCTTATATGTTAGGTTTTGTATTTTATTACATGTTTCTTTTCCCCAGTTACTGCCAATTGATAAAATTTTACTGCTGTTTTTATGTAATCCATTTCTTATTCCCCAAGTAATTTAGCTGTTACAATAAAGACAGACTTCCCCCAACTAAAAATAAAAAAAGAGGAAAGACAGGTTTTTTTTAAAGTACATGTTGAAGAGTAAGAAAAAGTAAGTGAAACTTCTTTGGTTTGTATTGCTCAAAAGCATCGCTATAGGGGTGGTGAAGAGAGAAACCCAAGGTATTTTAGTGTGAAATGTGTTAAAGGAAGAACAACTGACGCATCTATTTCACAAGTGTTATATTCCCAGGTTCGTAAATAAGTATTTTCCAGAGATATTTATAGTTTAATTTTTGTGTTCCAGATAATCAAGCAAAAGAAAGATGAGCTTCATCTATGGATTACAGTCTGCTATTAGAAACTGTATTTTCTTCCGATTTAATTTACTGACCCACTGGCGAAAATGTAACACACTAGCTGTAACCTCACTGGACTGTCATCAAGTACAAATTAACCGTATAGTAAATAAGTACCAGAGCCTGGGAGTAAATCAGTGTGATAAGTTGACTTCTCTGCCTGGAACCTTTCATTTCTGTAGGACTTTTAATAACAAAAGTACAGAGTGCCTCTCAAGTGTCAAAAGTAAGGAAATTTGGATGATTACACAAAAATGTACTGCATGGAATGACTCTTTTTCAAGACAGCAGCTGACCAAAGAAATTGGAGTAGTTCCTGCTCTCTCAGTAGTGCGTCCTCTAAACCATTTTCCCGTAAGAGACACCAGGCATTTCCACACTTCTCCGCGGTTCCAGGCTGCTCCCGTTCCTCTCTTGCTGGTAATTCTTAAACCAGTGCAGAAACTACTTGCAATCATTATAGGCAGGTAAAATGCTTTTTTTAAAAAAATAAACTTTTATGCTAAAGGATATTTGTAAAACTACACTTTGAAAGGAAATTTGTTGGATTTTCCTCCCATATTTAGCTCAAAATTAAGTTTCTAAACGGTTCTACCCATTTTTATGTATGACTTAATAATCTTGAAATAATTTACTGCATATTAACTTACAGAAATGTGATCTTTAAAAATTATTCTCGTATATTGTATAGACACATTTTAAAAGATTGACCTTGTATATATGATTACAAAAAGAAACAGAACTGTGGATTATAACTCATGTATATGAACAATACAAACATTCCTTTTTAGTGTATGGAATTTGAGGCAACAGATCATAAAAGTGAAGAACTGTACTTCTTTAAGAATGGACTCACTCCTACCCAAGTTAACTCTTAAACCATTAATATTTATTAATTTATTTTTCTATTCTGTTTTCACCAAATCTCTATTATTTGCTCCTGATAGTCCTTTATTATAATTAATACTTTTACAGCTAAATAGTACTTTAGATTTGATTTAACCCCATCTCCCCCAAATTAATCCTGTTTTATATGCTCCATGAAGATTGAAGAAAGGTAAAGTTAAACATTGTCTCCTCCTGAAGCTTTCTTAAGCTTGATAACGGGGAAGTCCCTTCTAGCCTTCTAACTTCCATACTAACCAACCTAATTTTCTTTTTATCAAAATTGAGAACTTGTACTCTGTAATTCATTGTGTTCTTTATGATTTTATATTGGCATGCAAAAAACATGCAGCTATATTAGCTCTCATTTTAAGTTAACAACTGTCAAAGAAAACCAGAGCTAGACAATAGTTAAAGCAGTAAAAACAGGTTTTATTTGGGAGTATTGTAGTAGGGGAAAAGAGACCTCAGTATAGAACCAGAGTCAATTCTGCATACAGCATGGGCAAGTAGGAATTTATAGCCAAGGAGCAGCATAGGGAGTGGTTGGTGGATGGAAAATTAGAGGGAATATTGGGAGTAAGGGTGGGGATTCTGCCCAGACAGACCTAACAGGATTCTTGCTGAAGGCAGGTGAGGGTGATCAGCTGTCACCTGGTGGCTGGTGAAGGATGAGGAACCTGGTTAGATAGCAAGGGTGATCAGATATGGAGGATGGGGGATTCTGGGTAAAGAGACTTAGCAGCATTCTTTCTAAAATTAGACAATGCAGCATGAACATGGAAGTCCAAAAGTCAAAGCCTAGTTGAAAAATTGTTCAGGAGACCCTGGATATGGTAGAGGAGAGAATCTTTGTCATAAATTAGCCCAGGTTCTTGGGCCAATAGCTCTTTTCATCCTTTTAAATTATTTATTTTTATGTTTTTTATTGTTGTTGATATTGTCAGTCACCTAAAATTTTCTTTTAGAATATGGTTTTATATATTTAAATGGATTATAACAAGTCATCTAAAGTTTTAAATAAGAAATAAGTATTCTTCATAGGTTGGTTTACTTTGTATACTTCATAGGTCTTTTTGGGTTGAAACACTTTAGAAGCATTTTAGGTATGACAACAAAATTAAGATAATTTAAAGAAGTTACTTTATAAAATAAATTTTGTCAAGAGAATTATGTATGTATTTTAAATTCGTTTTGTGATTTCACAGATGAACTCACAAGGAAAATTTTTTGTTCCAGCCTTGAAAACATTGCTTGTTGTTAAAATGTCTGGACCCTGATAAGAAGCAGAGAGTATTATTGCCTGGTAGAAACTGGAACTGCTCAGATGTTATCTATACAATCTCTCCTTTTCAAATCTTCTTTGCTTATGCTCTTCTTATTACCTCCCCTTTGTTATGTTTTGGAGGGGACGGAGTTTCAGCTACTGAACAATATTTATTTCTAAAATCAATGGTGATGTAGTTTCCCTGGTACCTTGCTGAAGCACTCGCAGGTTGTGCTGGAAGTCTGATGAGCAGTGGGGACAAAGGCGGCTAAAGGTGTAGATTTATTGCATCACAACCCCTCAGATGTTTATTTGGGCAGTTCATCCCCTATTAAGTGGTTAAGTGCTCAGATGCTAGAATCACTTTGCCCTCATTGCCTGGTTTTCCTTATTACCTCTGCAATCTTGGACACATTGCTTAACTTCCCTGTGTCGCGTTCTCTTCTGTACCAGGGTTATTATGAAGATTCAATGAGATGACTTGTATAAGGGTTAGAAGAGTACTTTCCATGTGGTAAACAGTCAATAAATGTTAACTAGTGGTTGTTGTAAAATAGCTCCTCGCTTAATGTTTATCTTTAAAATAACTGAAGAAAATTCAAATGAGATTAGACTTTTTAACTGTACCTTGATGGAGTTGATTCATTTTTCATCATTTAGTTAAGAATTTTATAAATTGAAAAAAACCATCTCTGCAGAGAAATATGTCATAAAAAATTCAAGTAAGTATTTGATGACATAAAATTCTAGTATAAGCATTGAGTTTTGGTGATATGTACTGATACTATTAAAGGAACTTTGAATTTTTCTTTTTGCTCTAGGGGCATAAGGAAATGGTGGCATGCACTTCCTCCTAACAAGAAGGAACTATTTAAAGAAAGTGTAAGGAAGAATAAATGGAAGATATTCCTTGGTTTGAGCAGTTTTGGATTTCTCTTTGTAGTGTTTTATTTTACTCACCTGGAAGTGAGTCCAATCACAGGACGGAGGAAGCTACTATTATTGGGGAAAGAACATTTCAGTCTTTTATCGGAACTGGAATATGAAGTAGTAAGTAGTAAGAATTGTTTTTAATTATATTACTTAATATAACTCTTAAAGCAGGGAAGTTTCTTACATATGAAAAATGTACTTTTTTTTATTATAGTCTTTGATAGGAAATTAGTATTTTTTCCCCAAAGCACCTCAGACTTCTCATACTTAGTATTCCTACTGCTTACATTGCTTTCCTCCCATTCTCCCAGCTAACTCCTGCTCATCACATGTTAGCTTAAATGTCACTTTTTCATGAAAGCCTTCCTTGATTATCTAAACTTGGGTTAGGCAGGGTCGTACCATTAGGCTCAAGGAGTATCCTTCAGACTGACTGAATTATGAATCAGCTCCTTTGCCATTGTGTCCAGTGCTTGGCTATGTTGGGGTTCTACTTTTATTTTCTCTTTGCATATTATACTTTTCCTTCCAAACATTTATCACAGGGGTAACATAATAGTTATTCACGTAAGTATTTACTGGCTGATCTACCTCCTTAGTTAGACTAAGTTCTGTGGAGGCAGAGACCCTGTCTGTTAATCATTGTATCTTAAGCATAGTGCACAAAGTTATGCTTAGTGTATTTTTTTTTTTTTTTTTGTGGAGGGCAGTGTCACCGGCCCTCACATGTGGGATCCGAACCGGGGCCCTCCGGCATCCCAAGCCAGCTCCCAACCATCGCGCCACTCGGCCGGCCCAGTGTATATTTTTTGAATAAATAGATCTGTAGTCTGAATTTTTGTACCTTGAAAACAGAGTAGAATAAGACAGTTTTTTTGTTTTGTAGCATCAATTTTGCCAATTATATTTTTTGAATACAGAGTAATGTCGGAATTCAGAAGCCTTAACTCTTTGGAGAATGTAACTCAGGCAGTTAAACATGTTGTACCACCAGCGAGCTCCGTGAGGACAGATCATCTTTCTATCTCCAGTGCAGAGCACTTACATGGTATGTGCTCAGTTGATACTTGTTGAAGTCACATAGCCTCACTTGACAGCTTTGGCATGGTTAGATCTTTGTATCTTTTTATTCCAGTTGAGCGTCCAAGTTTGTCAATGGAAAGTTACCATTAAAAAAAGAAATAACAATAGTTTTTTACTAAAAAGCTTGTTCTTAAGATCAATCTTTTCTATCTAGTAGAGTTTATACTGAGATTTGAGATGTTTCTTAGAATATAGTCTAGTTAGGGGAAAGTTTGAGGAAAGTGTTCTGGAAAGAGTGAGATGAACTTAGTGTTAAATTAGTACATCTTCTACCACTCACATCACTAAAAAGCTTTAAAAAATTATATATTTGTACATACATATATTCTCTCCTTTTTTGTCTTATTTTTTTTCACTTACAAATGTAACACCTGCTTGATATGAAAATTCAAACACATGTTCTGATAGGGCTATTATAAAGTGTTACAATTACAGTAATTCCCCCTTATGTATGGTTTCACTTTCTGTGGTTTCAGTTACCCGCAGTAAACTGCGGTCCAAATAAATATATTAAATGGAAAATTCCCAAAATAAACAATTCATAACTTTTAAATTGCACACCATTCTGAGTACCTCACTTCACCTCATCACGTAGGCATTTTATCATCTTAACATCATCATCAGGAGGAGGGTATGTACAGTGAAAAGATATTTTTGAGAGACTGCATTCATATAACATTACTATCACAGTGTATTGTTATACTTGTTTTACTATGTTATTGTTATTAATCTCTTACTGTGCTTCATTTATAAATTAAACTTTATTATAGGTATGTATGTATGTATAGGAAAAAGCAGTATACTTAGGGTTCGATACTATCTGCGGTTTTAGGCATCTGCTGGGGGTTTTGGAATGTATCCCCCCATGGATAAGGGGGCACTAGTGTACATATAATCTTGTTTGTTTTCACCTGTTTCAGAAGGGTTAATATAGTAGTGGGTTTTTTTGTTTGTTTCAGATCGTTGTCATTGGTGATTGTGCTTATTAAAAATGTTAATTGATATAAAGACTTACAAATTCCTATTGTACAAAATTACCTATTTTTAATGCATCTTAAGGAAGAAGCTTACAAAGTTGTTGATTTATATGTGAAAGAAATTACACATTTTATGGAAATTAAAGTAATATTTTCAGTACATCCTTATTCTCAGTACACTTGAAAGGGGCTTGTCATGAATATAAAACTTCAGAAAATATGTCTTTATGTGGTGGCTAGTCTTAATCAGCATAGTATAGAGAAAATGATATGACTAATGGTTCTAAAATGTCAGTAATTTCCTGTGTGAATAAAACACTTAATGAATATATATATATATATATATATATAAAATAGAAGTTTTAACTTAAGTATAGGATATTTTTTTATTCAGGAGTTATGAAAGTAATTTTCTTTTGTATTTTAGTTTCTTATATGAAATCTTTATGTTCTCTAGACAGTGTTTTGGTTTATAAAATAGGAAAGTAGAAATTATATTTAGGCATTTTATTTGTTTATAGACTAATAGAAGAGATGAATGAAATTTTTATTTGAATCAATATATATGAAAAATTTTAGTTATTAGAATTTATTACATTTGTGAGAAACCACATTGCCTTTGCATGAATAATTCAAATTTGAGAAATTTGAGTGTTTAATAATATGCACATTTTAATTAAAAATTAAAATGTTCAGTAATAAGTAGCCATATACCTCTCTATGAAGCAATATAAACATTTGGTAGAGCTAAAGATCTTAAAATAAAGACTAATTTTATTTTTAATCTTTCAGTGGATGGAAGAATTTAAAAATGACATGCTAACTGAGAAAGATGCTCGATACCTGGCCGCTAAAGAAGTGTTTTTTCATTTAGTTGAATGCAATAAAGATATTCCAGAGATCTCTGAGATCACTTGGGTTATTCATGTGGTTGATTCCCCAGATATAAATGCCTTTGTGCTTCCAGTAAGTAAACGTTCTCAAACCTAATTTTTAATTGTTAAACTTAGCATCTTTGTTTTTTATGGAGTTCTAATAGCTGACATTATTTTCTTTATGGTGCAGAATGGACAAGTGTTTATCTTCACTGGGCTTTTAAATAGTGTGACTGATATTCATCAACTTGCCTTCCTTCTGGGCCATGAAATCGCACATGCAGTACTTGGGCATGCTGTAAGTACCTACAGTGAACACTCTGTCTTACTGCTTTGCAGTTCGCAAGGTAAATCTTTTAAAGGGCTGAATCTTTTCAGTTTTGTGGGGTTTTTTTATGATAGAATTTTAGTTTTTAGTAATTGTCTTATTTTGTTACCCAAAAAAATATGATTGGCTAAATTTGGGAGTTTTTATGGTCTTTAGTATTTGATACTGAATAATTAGTTTCTCTTAAATACTATTTTTATCACCTGTCTCTTTTGCTAAAAGGTAATTATTCTCAACCTCTAATTATTTCAAATTAGATTTTAAACTTTCCGTAATTATTAACATGCTTGTAATCTAGTCATTAAATTAACTATAGGAAAGTGATATTACTATTTAAGTGGGTAAATCAGTTTTCTCATTTTTTTGTTCATTCTCCAAGGATAGCTTGGAGCATCTTTGAAAATGTCTAGAATGATATGCTATAAATCATTAATGCAGAGTAATAATAATGATACTTTGCCGTATTACACTTTATTGAGCTTTTAATACATATCTTCTCATAATTTTAATACTATCCTCATGAGGTATGTACGAGTATTTAATATCCCTATATTATATACGAGGAAACTGATGATTAAAAAGGCTCTAAGTAACATGACTAATGTGACAAAGCGGCAGAATTGGGACTTTAACCCAAGTCTTCTGTTAGCAAGTCTGCTTCCTTTTACCACAGTTACCTGTTTGTTGGCAACACTTTCTTATAAATCATATAATTCAGATTGATTTATGCTCCCATGAATATACATATTTTTGATTTGTTATGAGTCCATAAAGTAATATATTTGTTTACTCATTTTTATTCATTAAAAATATAAATGGCTCTTTTTTTTTATCCATTCATCTATCGATGTACAGCACAGGGAAGATAGTCAATAATATCATAATAACTGCACAGTGACAGGTGGTTACTAGACTAATTGTGGTCACACCGTAAGCTATATAAATGTTAAATCACTATGCTGTACACTTGAAACTAATTTAATACTGTATGCCAACTCCCCATTAATAAAAACTTTAAAAAAAATGTGCATGGTTCTTTTGTCTACATCATTAGGGAGAGGTATATTTTCTTTAATTGAAAACATGATGGTAAATAGTGAAAGGATTGTGAAATACTATGTAGGAAATGCAAGTAATATTAACTTTAAATGATAATGTTATATTAATTCCTTTAAAAGCCATCTCTAATTTTATTTATTGCTTAGAGTATCAGTAAGATGAGGTGGGCCAAAGTGATGCTTTTCTGCAGCACAAATAGTAATTATCATCTTTATTTCTTCTGAGTTACAGGGAAATATAAAAAATATATTTTTAAACAAATATATACAAGAATAAATCTGAGCAGTTGAATAGATTTTATCTTTCAAGAAATAGCTTCATAACCAAAATCAATCAATTTTGGCCATTTTTAGCATTGAAAAGATGTTAATATTTAGTACATTTGTTTCTGTGGCATTTCATTCAGTGCTTCAGCATCTTGTCATCTCTTTCAGTGCAGGAACAATAATTAGATGAGATATAAAAAACAAACAGCAGCCTAAAAATAGAAAATAATTATTAATATTTCTTTGGCAGAGGTCTTAGAATTATCAATACTGTGTTTTCTCTTTTAGGAGTCTTCATTTTGATTTGATATAGCCTTTTATGTTGTTTTCTTCATTCCACAAATACAGATTTTGCTGTTTAATGGCAATTATATTCTTCAGTAATTAACAGCAAGGATTTTTTGTCTTCTATAATGACTTCATCTTTTGGAGTTTTTCACTTTCGTGCTAAAATAATTTCATAATTGTTTTTCATGATCCACAGTTCTTATAGTGAAGCAAAGAGTGCTTTGTGAGAGCAGGTTATATTGTAAAGAGAAGGTGGTTATTTTTAGCTGTCAGTCATGTTTCATACAATGAAGTAATGACTCCTGTATTATTAGTATTAGCATTACATTAATATTTATAATCAACCTTAATGGTGAACAATGAACAATCCAATGCATTAAACTTATATTTAGCTATTACTACTCAAAACAGCTATTTTAAGCAAAACCTTTTTTGATTTTTGCTCAAAGTAAATACAGAAATTCATGGAACCCAATTTCCTGTTGAGAAATACTAGGCTTACTAAAATTGCAGACTCACATAAATAAATCATACTTCATCTATTAAGGTCATGAAGGCCAAATTTTTGTTTAAAATAAACTTCTAAACTTTTTCTGAATTGTCATTTATGTTAACTGCTTCATGTGTTAGGTAGTGTTTTGTTGTTGTCCAAAAGTATAAAAATAATAAACACATTTATTTGATTTTTGAAAAGATTTAGCAACTGTAGTAAAAACTAAAACTTCCTGGGTTGGACTCCTTGTCCTTTTACTAACAGCTGTGTGAATTTGGGCAACTCTTTTAACCTATCTCCCTCTTAGTTTCTTTATCTTTAAAATAGGGATAATTGTACCTCTTTGACAAGATTATTATGCTTGTTAATATAAGAAACTGAAGATTAGTGAAGTTGTCATTGTATCTGAGTGATGGTAAGTGGCTCAGTGAATGTTAATTGAATGGATGAATGAAGACATATAAATATGTAAGCATGGAATGGTACAAACAGACTGGGAAAGGATAAAGTACACAGAAGAAAAGAAACTTACAGTCTTAGTTGGTGAGGTTCAGTTAAACACAAGTGATTATTTAATGTGATTACACATGATGAACTAGAAAATGTAAGCATTTACTGTCTCAATTTATTAAATGTAATTTTCATTATTTTGATTATTCTCAGGTAGAAAAGGCCAGCTTTGTTCATTTATTGGATTTTCTAGGTCTGATTTTTCTAACAATGATTTGGGCCGTTTGTCCTCGAGATAGTTTGGCACTTTTGGGCCAGTGGATACAGTCTAAATTGCAGGAGGTAAGTCTGAGACAATAGCTTGAATTTGTAATGGCCTGTGGTGAGGATATTTTAATATTACTGTAAAGCAACAAATACCAGAGGTGTTTTACACATTGTCATGAAATATGGGTGCTAACTTTAATGTCTTATGTTTTCTCATTTTTAGGGGATATTCTTAATGAGTATTCAAATTAGAAAGTGCTACATCTCTCAAATGATGGAGATAGATGGGTTAGAAGGGCTTAGCAGCTTTTGGCTAACTTAATTTTTTTTTTTACATAGTTAAGGGTCTTAAAGAGATAAGTAACCCAGTCACAAGTCCTTCCTTTCCTTCTGTCGCTTTACCTTTAAACTTGCCACTTTTGTCTCTCATAGTGACTGGGGTGTGCTCACTAGATGACTCTCCCTTCCCCTAAATATTTGCATTTTGATGGAGAACTCTTAAAACTTACAAACTTTTATGGGCATAGGGTTGGCTAAGGCTGCTATACCACCCTCTCTTCATTCTTAGTTAAACTAACATTTCCTGGGAAATACTGAAAGGACAGTCTTACTAGGTGTTAACTTTTGTTTTTAGTACTTATTTATAATGATAATCATCTCATAAAATTGATTTTCAGTTCAAAGCACTATAGGTCTTGCAATCCCGATAATTGCTTTGTTAACTATGATTAATTATTTTATCTTACATTTTTTCAAATATTTCCTCTCGTCCTGGGAGGTTTGGTTATTTAGGAACAATCTGTTATTTGTTTATTTAATGATTTGTGGAGCACCCATCAGAGTGCCATCTGGGTGCTGTTTAAATCTAATGTCTAAAATTCTTGTAGACAAATTGCTTTTGAAATTGGATAACTAAAGCTATTGTTCAGTGTTACCATATCATTTGGCTTCATTTATATTGAAATAAAGGTTCTTTAAAGGAAAAAGAAGGAATGATTATTGTTTAGGTTATAGGATCTCATATCTTGAACTTTATTTCTGTCGTGAGGTGCTGGGAAGTCAAAGGAGTTAAGGTGGTTTTTTTCTCTGTCAACAGATAGCTTTTTCTGCAATGGAATCAGAAGATTTGGTCATAAGAAAGATAACTTGTAGTGGTTTCTTTCTTGAAATACTTGATGAATCCTGCTACTTCAGAATAATTCTTTAATAATTAAACTGAAAATAAAGTAGGGATTACTTCTGTTTGAAGTCTTTTCCTAAATCAAGCCCTCCCGTCTCCCCCCAGTTTCAGCGACAAGGAAATATTTCTCTCTCTAGAAAGCCTTGCTCTTGTGATTAGAGACAAGACAGGAATATGGATAGTGAAATCATTAAGGCGGGGAATTGCTGACACTCATTTGCCAGAGAAAGGAAGAGAAGAGGGAAGAAGTCGGGGCCCTTACTTAACCATTGGGGAGCCCTATTTTTTGTAAACTTAAAGATTTGGATATAATGTAGCAGCCTTTATAGAGCTACCAGGCAGGGTTTTGAGAGTCATTAGTAATAATTATAGTAGCTAACATTTATCGAGTGCTTACCATATGTTAGGCACTAGGATAAACACTGCAGATTAATTAGGTACAGGAGTGAAAAACATAGGCCTTGGTCAGATGGACCTGTGTTTGAATTAGGATCTTTTAAACCTAAATTCTGTAGAACCTGGACAGGTTACTTCATCTATATAGATCTCAGTTTCTTCATTTGTAAATACTGGCTAACTCAAAGCATTGTTGTGAAATGAATGATGCATTTCAAGCAGGATTTCTCAATATAAGTACTATTAACATTTTGGGCCGGATAATTATGGTGGAGAGTTGTCCTGTGCATTATAGGATGTTTAGTAATCTCTAAATATCTAGTGCCTCTAAAACATGTAGACTTTCCCCCACTAGATGCCAGTAGTATTCTCCCTTCCCGCATCCCCACCCCGCTCCTCCAGACAATCAAAAATGGCTCCACATATTTCCAAATTCCCCCGGGGGAGCACAGTGACATCCCATTGAGAACCACTGGTTTATAGCATTTAGCACAGTACCTGGCACAAAATAAGGACTCAATATATAGGAGCTATTGTTGTTATTGTTTGCTCATTTCGTCCTCTGCAATTCTAGGAGAGTGGTACTTTTACTGCTCCATTTTACATGTGATGCGACTAGGCTTAGATGGGTTAAACAATTAGTTCAGGGTTAACAGTTAAAAACTGTCAGTATTTGGACTTGAATATCAAGTTTGTCTCCTTTTAAAAGCAATGCTTTTAATCAGTTATACTGGGCTGGCCGAGTGGTTCAGTTGGTTAAGAGCTTGCTCAAGAGTGTGAGTTCTGAGCAACTAGCGGTTCGATTCCCAGCCTGAGCTGAGCTGCCACCTGTTGGCAGGATGGCTCAGCTAAAAAAAGAAAAAAAAAAGTAGAGATTCTAATCAGTTATATTATCAGTCGACTTGATGGAACACCTGTAGATGAGTCATGGAGAATGAAGACACTATGGTATAGTTCAGCAACCTAAAGCAGAGACAACCTAAAGCAGAGGTGATTGAGGAGGAAGAAAGTCATATCTAATGGTCACATACTACAGATCAGATTGATAATATTTTTTCTAGCCATCACTGACATGTAGCTACCTCTGAAAAATTGCTTCCCCAATTAATAGCCCTTTTCTCAAAAGTCCTGCCTATTGATCCATCTTCTACAAAGTTTTAGTACTTACTGAAAATTAGAATTTAACTGGAAAGCATTCACATAAATACAAGTAATTAGGAAAATTAAAGTTACAATATCTATTTGCATTTTTTATTGAAGTTGGAAGACAGTTTCATTTTCTTAACTAATCAATACTTAGAAAAAAAAGGAAATTAAGATGATTTATCGAAGAAAGAACATTCTGCAGTGTGGATAATTTTCCAACTGAAATAAATCCCCTAGTAGTGTCACTGACTATTACATAGCTATGTTTTTTTCAGTTTTCTTTTAAAACCACAAGATCAAAATGTTTCTTGGCCATAATAAAAGAGTGCATCAATAAGCTTTCTTAGGGAATCTTCTACATAGTAGGTGGAGATTATAAGTGGAAAAATAAAAGGACTCTGTATGATACTATAGACTCTCAGGAAGTTTGTAGGCATGATTTCTTTTTTCTATCCTATGTTTAAAAAACATTAATCTCTGGTGGAGGAAATAAAGGCTGCACTTTATGTTTTGTACCATAGTGTTCTTTAAGTGTTAAAAATGGAGAGTATAAAAACTTTATCCTAGATACTCCATGAAATGTTAAAAATCTCATTTTGTTATGAAATAACCTTTATAATGGAGCTTTTCTTTCCTGTTTCTTCTTAGTATATGTTTGATAGACCATACAGTAGAACATTGGAGGCTGAAGCTGACAAAGTCGGACTACAGCTTGCTGCAAAGGTAAAATGTTTAGCTCAGAATACAGTGTCCACACAGTAAAAGATAAATGTGCATTGTCTTAAATAAAGTTTGGCGTGGCCAGAGAATGAGAGTTGGACTGTATATAACTTTTCATTAATACCATTTTAGATCTGTGCCCTCTGGAAGCTCATGCTCTGTTTTACTCCTCTCCCTTGTTTCACTGATCTAAGGAGGCCTTTTGAGTAAATAAGATGATGTGTAGCTGTTTTTTCTGGTTTGAAAAAACGTTTATCATATTGAAGCTATGATCCTGGCTGAGCAAACTGAATTTTTACCATTAAAATAAATGGTAGGAGAGCAGGCTTATTACTCTGTATCTTTCAGATTATTTTTGTTGCAGTAGCTGGCTTATTTTTGCTAGCCCTAGAGAGTGGCTCTGGGTGTTTACCCTGATTTGTTAGCTTTGTTCATGTCTACTTAACAGGATACTTTATGCCTGGCTTCTATTTTCAGTCACCTGTGGTTACCAAGTATTATTAGTAGTAGGATTTAACATTAGAAGTAAAACTGGATTTTTAAAAAATGAGTGAAAACGATGGTGTTTCACATATTAAATTCAAATTGTATTTGATTGTTTGTTGAGTTTTCAGTAGTTAGTCCTGACTATTGAAAATCACTGTTATTCAAACTTCTCATGAGTTTTATGAATTTAATTTTATAAATCAAGATATTACTCATTCACAAAAGCAAAAGCAGTCTTGAATGTTACATAAGTAGAATTAAGTGAATTATCAGACCGCACAGATTGAGAGGTTCCCAAATAATGGTCCACAGATTGGCTATATCAAGAATTTCCTAATTTTAATGTACTACAGTTTATAAAATTTTCTTTTTAGGTAAGTGTTTTCTGGATAAGAAATGTTTGCCTATCTCAATAAATTGTTTCTGTTTTATTTCCAAGAAGCTTTATTGTTTTGATATCTTTTTTACATATAATATGAGGAAGAGGTCAAGATAATTTTTCCAGATGGATATCTAATGAACTCAGCACTATTTATTAAAGATTAATTTTTGTCTCTACTGTACTTCATTGTGTCTATCACAAATGTGGGAAGCTTATATGGAAGCATGTTTCTGGATTCCCTTTTCTATTCCATTGGCCTACTACTTATTTTTGAGCCAATACCACATCATCGCTGTAGTGTTGTAGTAAGTCTTGCTATCTAAGAGCTTCTGTCCTCCAGTGTTGTTCTGCATGACTGACTTGCTATTTTTGGTTTTTTGCTTTTCCACATAAATTTCAGTCAGTCTATCAAATTACTCGCCTGTACAGAAACGTGCTTGGGACCTTGATTGACGTTGGGTGCATTAAATATAGATCAATTTGAGGGCAATTGACTTGTTTCTCTTCCTCAATAACTCATCCTTAATGGACCAGCTCAATTTTTTTTAATTGAATTTATTGGGGTGACATTGGTTAATAAAACTACATAGATTTCACTTGTGCATTTCTATATCACCATATATTTGATCCCCTTTTCCTTCTTCTACTATTCTCCCTTCCCCCTTATCCTCTGGTAACCACGAAACTGTTGTTTGTGTCTATGAGTTTTTGTTTGTCTTGTTCACTTATTACTTTCAATTTTATAGCCCACATATGAGTGAAATCATATGATTTTTTACTTTTTCCATCTGACTTATTTCGCCTAGCAGGATAATCTCAGTATCCATCCATGTTGCAGCAACACTGTTATTCAACGTAATATTGGAAGTCCTAACCAGAGCAATCAGGAAAGAGAAAGAAATAAAAGGCATCCAAATTGGGAATGAAGACGTCAAATTGTCACTTTTTGCAGATGACCTGACTCTTTATATAGAAAATCCTAAAGATTCTACCAAAAAAACTATTAGAAACAAATGCAATAACGTTGCAGGATACAAAATTAGTGTACAAAAATCCATTGCGTTCCTATGTACTAACAATGAAATTTCAGAAAGAAATGAAAAACAAAAACAAACAAGCAATTCGTTTTGCAATCGCAACAGAGGGAATAAAATACCTAGGAATAAACTTAACAGGATGGGAAGGACCTGTTGGGTTGTCAGAAAAGTCATGATGTATTTTGTTTGTTTTTCAAAGGTCATTTATTTATATAAAGAACAAAGATCAATCAATGATATATTGCACGTTTTGTTCGATAACCTTTTGCCATCTGTCATTGAGCTTCAGAATTCCTCGTTCATAGAAGAACCTGTCTTTATTTGTGAAAAACTGAACAAGGTGCTGATTTACAGCCTCATCTGAATTGGACATCATACCATGCAAGGAGTTTTGAAGAGAGCGAAACAAGTGGAAGTCTGACGGCGCAAGGTCAGGCAAGTGTGGTGGGTGTGGCAACACATCCCATCCAAGCTCCAATAATTTTTGACGGGTGATCAAACTTGTGTGTGGTTTCACATTGTCACAATGGAACACAACTCCTTTACAGTTAACAAACTGGACATTTCTGGATGATGGATTCATTCAAACTGTCCAATTGCCGACAGTACACATTCGAAATGATTGTTTGTTTTTTTGGTAGGAGCTTGAACACGACACCTTTAAAATCCCACCACACTGAGAGCCTAACATTCCTGTGATGAATTTCTGCTTTCGATGTCGTTTGAGGCAAATCACATTGGACCAAGATCGTTTGCGCAGCACATTGTGGTAAACAATCCACTTCTCATCACCAGTTATCAGTCGCTTCAAAAAAGGATCGCTTTCTTCATGTTTAATGAGCATATTACAGATGTTTATATGCGCCGTCAAATGAACTTCTCTGAGTTCATGCGGAACCCAACTATCGAGTTTACTTACGTATCCCAGCTTCTTCAGGTGGTTGTGAACGCTTGAGTGATGGATATTCAATGTTTCTGCAATCTCTCGTGTTGTGTAATGTGGGTTTGACTCGATCAGTGCCTTTATTTTGTCGTCATCAACGTTGGTGGGCCTCCCTGACCGAGGAGTATCGTTGAGATCCAAATCACCAGCACAGAATTTCATGAACCATCGTTGGCACTGATGTTCTTGTAGAGCATTGTCGCCATAAACTTTATGCAACTTTTCACAAGCTTGACGCTTGTTCTCCCCTTTATGGAAGTAAAACAGTAAAATATGGCAAAAATGCACAGTTTGGTCTTCCATCTTCAACTTGTTGTAAAAATCTCCAAAACTCAACCAAATTGCTCAACTTTTTTTTAGAATGAAGCTAGAACTGTCAGCTGTCAAATGACATAGCAATAAAATACATGCGAATGGCTCTAGGACTTCAAAAAATGATTAGTGCTATCTGTTGCAAATATGTGTCATGACTTTTCCAACAACCCAATATATACTGAAAGCTATAAGACATTAAAAGAAATTGAAGAAGACACAAAGAAATGGAAAGATATTCTGTGTTCATGAATCGGAAGAATCAATATAGTTAAAATGGCCATATTACCCAAAGGAATATACAGATTTAATGCAATCCCCATCAAAATCCCAAAGGCATTTTTTAAGGAAATAGAACAAAACTCATCAGATATGTATGGAATCACAGAAGACCCCAAGAGCCAAAGCAATCCTGAGAAAAAAGAACAAAACTGGAGGTATCATGCACTTGGACTTCAATTTATACTAGAAAGCAACAATAAAACAGCATGGGATTGGCAGAAAAACTGACACAAAGACCAATGGAATAGAATTGAGAACCCCAGAATAAATCCACATACGTATATATGGGCAGATAATTTTCGACAAAGGAGCCAAAAACAGTGGAGGAAAGAAAGCCCCTTCAATAAATGGTGCTGGGAATATTGGAAAACCATGTGCAAAAGAATGAAACGACTGCTATCATTCAACATATACCAAAATTAACTCAAAATGAATCAAACACCTAAATATAAGACCTGAAACAAACTGCATAGAAGAAAGCAGAGGTACTAAACTTATGGAGCTTGTGTTCAGAGAGGATTTTATGACTTTGACCTCAAAGTCAAGGGAACTAAAAGCTAAAATGAATGAATGGGACCGTATCAAACTAAAGCTATATGAAGCTTCTGCACAGCAAAATAAACCATCAGCAAAACAAAGAGGCAACCAACCGAACAGGAGAAGATATTTGCAAGCAACACCTCTGATAAGGGGCTTATATACAAAATATATAAAGAACTCATGCAACTCAACAACAAAAAAACCAAACAATCCAATTAAAAAATGGGCAGAGGACCTGAACAGACACTTCTCTCAAAGAGACAAATAAATAGCCAACACACGTATGAAAAAATGCTCCACTTCACTAGCTGTTAGGGAAATGAAAATCAAAACCACAGTGAGATACCAACTCACACCTGATAGAATGGTTGTTATCAACAAGACAAGTAATGACAAGCGTTGAAGAGGCTGTGGAGAAAAAGGAACCCTCATACACTGCTGGTGGGAATGTAAACTGGCACAGCCACTATGGAAAGCAGTATGGAGGTACCTCAAAAAATTAACAGAATGATGTACAACCCATTACTTCCTCTTATAGGTATCTCCCCTAAAACTATGAAAACATTTATTCTTAAAGATATATGTACCCCTGTGTTCATTGTAGCATTATTCATGGTGGCCAAGACATGGAAACAACTGAAGTGTCCTTTGATAGATGATTGGATAAAGATGTGGTACTTATATACAATGGAATATTACTCAGCCATAAGAAAAGGTGAAATACTGCCATTTGTGACAACATGGATGGATCTTGAGATTATCATGCTATGTGAAATAAGTCAGACAAAAAGTCGAGAGCCATATTAAATTAACTCATATGTGGGATACTGTTTTCTATCATTTTTTTACAGCTTTGTCCGTGGAAGCTGGGCAAAACCCTCAGGCTAGAAAACCAGGAACTCTTTTTTAAAAAAATTTATTTTTCAGTTACAGTTGACATACAATATTATATTTAGTTGCAGGTGTACAAAATAGTGCTTAGACATTTGCATACTTTTCAAAGTTATGAACTCGGTAAGTC